ACTAATTAAATTTCTTTTCTTTTGTCTTGTTTTTTGGCAAAACTAATTAAATTTCTTGACTTAAGAACTACACAGTTAAAATCAAACTGAATTGAATATTACTGATATATTTGAGTTTGAATGAAGTGGATGTATTCTATTTTTCATGATTTTTATCTTCAGCAAGTTGGAGCCTTGGTTGAACACAATAATTCAATAGGAATATATATTATTGTTGCGTACACAGCGAGAGTCGTCACCCACATTTTAAACTATTCAACTCAATTATTTTTCTAGAAACCGTCCATAAAATCATTTCGCAAAACGACATTAATCTGAACAATAGTTTTGCTTGGCGAATGAAACTTAAAATATTAAAACTTTTTTTTTTACGTCATAATAATATTAAAACAAATCAACGAAGTTGGCAAAAGAAAACTCGTTAAGCCTTTAAGTGAGTGAAGTTTTCAAAGCTTGCGGTAGTCCTTTTCATATTTAACGCATGCGTAGTTGCTTACACGTATATTTCTACGTATGTGTGGACCGCTTTGGAGATACACATTTATTATTTTCGATTCGAAATGCACGTTTTAAATCTAACAAGATTTTATATACGGAAATCTTAAATATTTTAGTAATACTCAAAGCTTTTTTTTTTTTTTTTCTCTTGTCTTGTGATAGTAATCTGATTCAACAAATTAAATTGAGCGAGATATGAGTTGTGTATATACCTAAACTTCCTATTGGATAGCGTCTGACTCTGTTAACTGTCTCAATCCAATATATTTATTCAACCATTCGGTAGGTTTACGAAATAGTACAATAATTGGATAAAAGACAGATTTTTTAAATTACTTATTGTATTACTTCCTAAGAAAAGGGGAAAATTGACTTCTGTCAGTATAATTCTAAAAGATGAAGTGTTACGGTCTACCAAGCTAATATATAGTCGTAATAAACATGTATATGTGTATGGTTACTAACTACCTGTAGTTGACTTATATGTGTATGCATAGTTGACATATTCAATGGTACATACGGAACAACAGATTAATTAGTAGCATTTAGTTGGACGGATAGTTTATTTGAGCCTTTTAGTTTTTTCTTGCTGAAAATGATTTTATGTTGCCTAGTTTATTTATTTTATTTTTGGACACTAAGCTAAATGAAGAATTATAAAGTTTTACGTAAAAAATAATAAAAGAAAAACTGAACAATTGACACGACCAACTTTGTTTCAAATTTCTAAGCTTTTTGTGTGTCATTAACATGTATTATATACATGTTTGAAATCGAATAGTAATGCAATGATAATACTAACACAATGTATTGAACCAAGTGGACAATGTGACGGTCGAATCTCACAATTAGAATCTAAGTGATTCTTTAGGGTTTGTAAAGTTCTGTGGAAAGCAAGCAAACACAAAGATCTCAAGAGAGTTTTTATTAGCTGTGAA